CGGGGATCTGGCCCCGGCAGGCAGCCCTCGCCAGGGCCTGGATAGCCCCACCACAGGGACCTGCTGGGGCTGATGGCGTGCCCTGCCCCGGGGCCGTTCCCCACGCCCACGAGAATATCGAGCCCAGCACCGGGTTGATGCAGCCCCTGCCTGTGGGAGGCTGAGGGCAGCCCTGGGTGATGGCATGGCCCCCACCCACCAGGTCCCCACTCACCTTGGTAGAGGAAGACATTGTGCGCATCGAGGGGGACACCGGTGAAGACATCGTCGGTGGCGCGGGGGTAGCCCTTGTCCACCCTCTGGACCTTCACGTCCAGCCTGCGGGGAGAGCAGAGCCATGCTGAGGGCTGCCGGGAGCCCTCCATCCCAGCCCCTCGCAGGAGGAGCCAGCAGGCGCCGCCACAGCCATCCAAACCCACTCACCCCCAGTAACTCTCCCCACTGAAGAGCAGCACTTTGCCACGGCCCCGCTGCAGGGCCCCCGAGATGCGGCCAGCTTCCTTCCTGATGCCCAGCTTCTCAATCCCCCGGGGGCCCAGCATGCTTTTGCCAGAAAACACCCAGAACTGCCGACCTGCAGCCGGGAGAGAGCACGGGCGTCAGCCAGCCCTGAGGGTGCCAGGGCAGGAGCGGGCTCCTCATGCCAGCCGCCGGCACCAGGGCTGGGGGCAACAGGGGCAGAGCTCACCGGCAAAGAAGAAGACCCTCTTGGTGAGCACGTCCTGGAAAGCGGCATCGATGACAGCCGGGAGGCCGGGCCAGGTGTCTGCGACGGAGAAGGCACCCTGGATGCCCGACTTCCAGAAGGACGAGCGGGTCCAGTATTTCCTGGTGGGGAAGGTCAGCCGTCCTGGTAACCTCGGCCTGGCACAGCCCCATGTCCCCCTACGCCCCTGGCACAGCCCCATGTCCCCCCACACCCGCTTGTTGCCCTGGCACTCGCCAGGGCAGGAGGTGCTGGGCACTGCCGCTCACCCATCCTTGAAGAAATGCAGCTCCCCGTTGATCTCTGTGATGGCGTCGAAGTTCTTCTCCATGCAGGCATCCCGGCTGGGGTCCACAGGAATGGGCTCGACCGTGGGCTCCAGCGTCTCCTCTTCCTCCTCGGTGGTGGAGGGGCTGCCCGCC